ATTGTGATTGAATGATTTACTTCTAATATGCATTTTTTATCCATTTTATACAGATGGAAGATTGTCTTGTTTCAAGTGGCGATGTTCTTTTGGGGAGGAAATTGCTAACTTTCAGCTTAAATTCGGGTCTAAGAGGACATGTCCTAGAATTTTAATGATATATATAAATTGTGTTAAAATTCCCGACTAAGAGGAGATGTAAATTTTTTATTTTTTGCCACTTTCTTATGTATATCTTAAGATGTAATGAGGTAACATTGCTTCCATAGTAGGGAAATTGGGAAATTATGGGTGTAAGAATGTGATTTCATCAAGGACGTCACATCCTTTTTTGAGAAAACACGTTATATACATTCAGTGTATATTACGTGTATATTGTCTATATATTGCTTGTTTATTGTTTGTGTATAACCATTTATTGCCTTTTATTGTCATTGTATTGTATGTTTATTGCCAATTTATAGCTTGTGTCATTTTTTGAGGAAAAATGAATATAAACTCTTATGGCTTGTATTGTCTTTGTATTGCCCCTGTATATGGCTTATATTGCGTAGGTATTGCCCCCATATATGGCTTGTATCGCCTATGTATTGTGCAAATAGGAGGACTCGCAAACCAATTAATGCAAAAAATAGCAAAAACCAATTAATACAGTGACAATAAGAACGCAATAGGAGGCTATATAGTAGCAATACTAAGGCAATATGAGGCTATATAGTAGTAATACAAAAACTGTAATAGTCCATCTTATGTGGGAAATGCTGGGCAAAACACAATGTATATAATGTTCTCTCTTCAATGTATAATATAAGTAGAAGTATTTTTTCCAGAAGCAAAATATTTAGGTCCAATCGTCATGAAAAAAAAAAAAGAACCCTACAAATGAACCCTGTAAAAGAGATGGCAAAACAAAAAAATTCCAGGTCCTCTTTGTTGTGCAACAACAATTTCATCAACAAATATGCAAGGTGCATTTTCCATGGCCTTCTTAAAAAGATAGCAAACTCATGAAGCACTAACACCAACAACAACCAAAGGTTAAGGCAATAAGCCTAGCAATAACTCATAGGTAAGCCTAAATCTAAAACACTGAATGATGATGGCTGTCATACTACAATGCCTCTGTACACTCTTCCCGGTCATCAAAGAACTCTTTTTTCTCACCTTATAACTGATATGGTTTATGGCATCTGCCTGCAACAACCTACAACAATGAAACATAATTTTAGAAAGAGAAACAAGGAAGATTATAAGAATTGGAGAGCAATTCCAGAGTGGACTGTGGAATGAACAAAGCAGTCTTGTAATTGGTGAACCCATTATCCATTATCCAATTCCTCTACAAGCACAATCTAACTTTGAAAAATGTGTTCTACATTGTAGAGGAGCGTAATTAAATTAAGTGGTGGACATCAAGCACAATTTAACTTAGATTATTATCTTACTGGATATCAAGCGTTTGCTTCTACTTAAGCTCACCATTGCTAATTCAATATTATGGATGCAGAGAGCTCAATTAGTAGTTCATTATATCAGTTTATGTAGTTCATTCAAAAATTACATCCCAAAACATAACAAAACAAATTCAGAACATAACAGATTCTTGAAGATGTAGAACACTTTCTAGTGGCCCGAATGTTCCTTTATATTAGATCACACAACTCCTATAAAACCAAGAGACCATTGAACCAAATAATTGTGTTTCTTCAGTTGTTTTTTTGTCAGAATAAAAACCTAAACTCAGTAATAAATTCAATCAGCAAAAGAAAAACTTCAAAATAATTTTAGCCTGGACAAGCTTCAAGCTTCAAGCATAATATTCCTTACGACAAATAGAGAAATATTTGTTGCACAATCCCAAAATTTTGGTTCAACAAGTTTTTGTATAATCCTACTTAAATAACATTCTCTACACAAGCTGAAAATATTAATTTAAAAAAAGAGAGATAAAATTTTAAATTAAACGCACAATTATGTTTCAACAAATTTATGTACAATCTCACTCAAATTTGACTTGGAGGGACTTGAAGTGACATTAAGCACCAAAAATTCCAACCCATATATGAAATTGAAACAAGCAGAAGAAAACCAAAATAACATATGGGTATGAAAGTAAAGCTGAAAAGCTGAGTACCTGAGATGCCATGGATTTCAGGAAAGCTGAGAGAAATTGAGAAATTTGTTGAATCGGAGGGGAAGAACGGCATTGACAACCATAACAACTCATCAATCCTCCAGAAAAAGCAATACGAAATGTTGTCGTTCCTGTAGAGGTACTTGTTGGAAGTTTGAAAGCAAATGGAGTCCCACATTGGAGAAACCAAAAGGTTTCTCATGCTTTATAAGCATGAAACCTTTACATCAATTAAATAAGAAATTGGTGGTATGATGGGCTTGATTAATATTAATATTTTTATTTTTATTTTCAGATTTCTTTTAGCAGAGGTTAGATTCAAACCAAAAGACTTATCTTTTTGTTTGAATTTTGAACACGAATAACTGTTGTTAACTGCTATTTTGAAGGGGTGTGAGTCTGTTATAAAAGCCGAAGTCCCATGCCATAATACATATATCTTTTTATCCATCTCTTACTGCATTAAACTTACAAATTGTATTGGAGAGAAACACACCACCGTTCGCCAGAATCCAAGGATCCGGTGCTGGATCCTTGGATTATAGATAGTTGAATCCTGGGAGATAGACGCCTGTTGAACTTCAAGCACTGAGAGGAGGCGAAATTCTGTCTTTAGGACATTGCGAAATACGCAAGCCTCTATCTACAATAAAAGTCAGTTCCCTGTATTTACTTTGTTTATACGCTTATATTGTTTTTTGTAGTTGGTTGTTGTCTACAATTTTGAATAATATATTATCGTTGTCATCTTATAAGTCATTTATTGATTTTTTCCTAACAATCTAAAGACAGAAATTTCCTTACAATGGGAGAATCTGTAAGTGGCGTGAAGGTGACTGATATAGTCAATATCAAAGGCGTCAAAACTCATGTTAAGGAACCAGAGAAATTCAAAGGGGTGGATTTCAAACGCTGGCAACAGAAAATGCTGTTTTACTTGACAACACTGAACTTGGCTCATGTAGTCAAAGAGGAAGTTCCTGTGGCAACAGAGAATCCGATACCAGCAGATAAATTAAATGCTATTGATGCTTGGAAACACTCTAAGTTTCTCTGCAGGAATTATATTCTCAGTTCATTGGATGATACCTTGTATGATGTTTATTCCTCATACAAGACTGCTAAGGATCTGTGGGAGTCTCTCGAAAAGAAGTACAGAACAGAAGTTGCTGGTACAAAGAAATTTGTCATTGGGAAATTTCTGAATTACAAAATGGTGGACTCCAAGTCAGTAGTTAATCAAGTGGAAGAACTTCAGATCATTATGCATGAATTGCATAATGAAAACATGATCATGAACGAAAACTTTCAAGTGGGTTCTATCATAGAGAAGTTGCCTCCTTCATGGAATGATTTCAAGATCTATCTGAAACACAAGAAATCTGACATGACCATGGATGATTTGGTTTTGAAACTAAGGGTTGAACAGGATCACAGAATCATTGCGAAAGTGGATGGTGTTTCCTCTGAAGCCAAAGCCAACATTGTTGAAGGCAAAGCCTCTGCTGGAAAGCCAAAATACAATTCCCAGAAATTTGAAGGCAAATCCTTTTCCAACAAAATGGCACCAAACAGCAAGAACTTCAAGAAAATAAAGGGGAGTTGCTGGGTGTGTGGAAAGCCTGGACACAAGGCACAAGACTGTCGCCACAAGAAAGATGGAGGTCATGCCAATTCTGCCAATAATCAAGCAAATGTAACAGAAGATATATTGGCTGCTGTAGTGTCTGAAACCAATATGGTTTTAGATACCAAGGATTGGTGGATCGATACTGGTGCAACTAAGCATATATGTGGCGACAAGAGCATGTTCTCTACATACCAAGAGATTTCTGGTGGAGAACAACCCTACATGGGAAATTCCTCAACTGCTGCCATTGCTGGAAAAGGAAAGGTGCTGCTGAAATTTACTTATGGGAAGGAACTGACCCTTCTAGATGTGCTTCATGTCCCTGATATTAGAAAGAACTTGGTGTCTGGTCCATTGCTTAGCAATAAGGGCTTTAAACTTGTGTTCGAATCAGACAAGTTTGTTCTTACTAAAGGGGGAATGTTTGTGGGAAAGGGTTATTTGGCTGAGGGTTTGTTCAAACTCAATGTATTGGCTACTAATGCTATTAATAATATAAATAAGGCTTCTGTTTATATTGTTGAGTCTTGTGATATTTGGCATGCTAGATTAGGACATGTTAATTTTCGTTGTTTAGATAGAATGATTAATTTAGGGTTGCTGCCAAACTTTAAAATTGATCACAATAATAAATGTGAAATATGCACAGAATCAAAGTTTGCAAGGCAAAGTTTCAAATCTGTTTTTGGAAGGTCTAATGAGTTGCTGGGTCTGATACATTCAGACCTTTGTGATTTTAAATCAACACCAACTCGTGGAGGAAAGAATTATTACATTACTTTCATTGATGATTGCAGTAAATTTTGCTATGTCTATTTGATAAATAGCAAAGATGAGGCTTTGAATATGTTCAAGACATATAAAGCTGAAGTTGAAAATCAATTAGAGAGGAAAATCAAAACTCTAAGATCTGATAGAGGAGGAGAGTATGAGTCTACAGCCTTCTCTGAATTTTGTGCTCAACATGGAATAGTTCATCAAACTACAGCTCCATATACACCTCAACAGAACGGTGTTGCTGAAAGGAAAAATCGAACTTTCAAGAACATGATTAACTCCATGTTGAATAGTTCAGGGCTTCCACACAATCTGTGGGGTGAAGCCTTACTTACTGCAAATACAATCTTGAACAAAATTCCACATAAGAAGACCAACGAGTCTCCTTATGAAGTATGGAAAGGTAGAATACCTACATATAAAACCCTCAAAGTGTGGGGTTGCCTTGCAAAGGTTCAAGTACCTTTGCCAAAACGAGTTAAACTTGGACCAAAAACAGTAGATTGTGTGTTTATTGGCTTTGCAAATAATAGTGCAGCCTATAGATTCTTAGTAGTTAAATCTGAAATTTCTGATATTCATGTTAATACTATTATAGAATCTGTAGATGCAGAATTTTTTGAGCATATTTATCCCTACAAAGAAAATAGGTCCTTTCCAAATAGAAAGAGGTCACTTGAACAAAATCAAAGTGACATTCCTTCTTCATCAAGGGTTCATGAAAATGAAATGGAACCAAGAAGAGGAAGTAGAACGAAAATCCCAAGAAACTTTGGACCTGATTTTTTAACCTTCTTGTCAGAAGCAGAACCACAAACATACAAGGAAGCAATGGCTTCAAGTGAGGCTTCTCTTTGGAAGGAAGCAATTAAAAGTGAAATGGATTCCATCTTACAAAATAATACATGGCAATTGGTTGATTTACCACCTAGTAATAAACCAATAGGTCATAAATGGATATTCAAAAAGAAATTGAAGGCTGATGGCTCTATTGACAAATATAAGGCACGTCTAGTAGCAAAAGGCTATAGACAAAAGGAAGGGCTGGATTATTTTGATACATATTCACCTGTGTCAAGAATTTCATCTATAAGAATGTTAATTTCTATGGCAGCCATATATAAATTGGACATACATCAAATGGATGTTAAAACGGCCTTCTTGAATGGAGAATTAGACGAAGAAGTCTATATGGAACAGCCAGAAGGATTTGTGGTTAAAGGACAAGAAAAGAAAGTGTGCAAATTAATTAGGTCATTGTATGGACTTAAACAAGCACCAAAAATGTGGCATGAAAAATTTGATCATGTTATGTTGTCAAATGGTTTTAAGATCAATGAGAGTGACAAATGTGTATATGTGAAGAGTTTCAAGAACTCATGTGTCATAGTATGTTTATACGTTGATGACATGCTCATAATGGGTACCAACAAAGACATTATAAATTCTACAAAGAAAATGTTGTGTTCCAGTTTTGATATGAAGGACTTGGGACTTGCAGATGTCATACTTGGAATTAGAGTTCAAAGAACCAAAGAAGGTTATTTTTTGACTCAGTCCCATTATGCAGAAAAAATACTCAGAAAATTTGGTCACTTTGATGATCCACCCGTTGTGACTCCTTTTGATCCATCAGTTCATCTAGCTAAAAATAATGGAGATGCAGTATCTCAGCTAGAATATTCACAAGTGATTGGAAGCTTAATGTATATGATGAATGGTACAAGGCCTGATTTAGCTTACGCAGTTAGCAGGCTCAGTCGATATACTAGCAACCCGTCTGATGATCATTGGAAGGCTTTGATTAGAGTGCTGCAATTCATAAAAGGCACAATAAATTATGGTTTGCATTACACAAGTTATCCACCAGTTTTAGAAGGATATAGTGATGCAAACTGGATTTCTGGTGAAAGTGAAACGAAATCCACAAGTGGCTATGTCTTTGTGTGTGGAGGGGCAGCAGTAGCTTGGAAATCAACCAAGCAAACGTGTATAGCACGGTCAACTATGGAATCAGAATTCATAGCTTTGGACAAGGCTGCAGAAGAAGCAGAATGGCTTCGAAATTTTATGGAAGATATACCGCTATTGCCTAAACCAATAACTGCAGTAGGTATTCATTGTGATAATATGGCAGCTATTGCAAGAGCTAAAAATAAGATATACAATGGTACCTCAAGGCATATAAGGAGAAGACATAGCACAATTAGACAATTGCTCAAAGATGGAATAATCTCTATAGATTATGTGAAGTCAAAGGCGAACATAGCTGATCCTTTGACAAAAGGCCTACCTAGAGAGCAAATTAAATATGCATCGAGGGGAATGGGTTTAATGTCAATTTCACAATGAGCTAACCTGATGGAACCCTAACCTAGCTGATTGGAGATCCCATGGTCTAGGTTCAATAGGCAAACTGGTTGGGAATGGCTCAAGGCTTGAACACACTATTTACTCATTCCTATGATCAAAGTGTGTTGTCTGCAGAAGTTTTAGGGTATGTTTTATACAAAACATTTAATGACGTTAATATTTTGATATTCAAAAGAAGTATGGCAAAATACTTTTAATTAACGTTACCTATATAGGAGTAAATGTGGGGTCACATTTATGAGAATTATATGACTATATTCTCTAAAGCTCCTATGAAACCAGGACTT